CCTTTTAGCAAGTACCTAGGCTGTTAGTATGGTAAGTTACAACGTCAATTCCTCATATTGGTAAAATGTGAACCTACATCGAACCCACAGTGATATAATCTGAAATCTGCCAAATGAACTCACGCCCCTTTAATGTCGCCAAACTGTCGTCGGCATAGAACCTTTTGTCTAAATCTAAATCGGGAACTTTTAGAGCGCAACGGAGCAATAAGGAAAAAACTAATCAGCAAATTGTTATCAGATAAACATGCTGTATTGCGGGCTGTATATAGGTCCGAATAAGGCCTTTCAGTGTACAAAAATATTCGATTTTAAAAGCAACGTTTGCGGCTTTATACCTTTGACAAAACACATTTCGAGATGTTTATAATAAAACCTCGTATAACTGTGAACAGAATAAATTACCTGATAAAGAAACCGCTGATATCCCTAAATTCCGAATATCTTTGATGATTAGAATTCCCAAAGTAAAACGAGGTAGGTGATAAAGTAATTCGAAGCCATAATTTTTCCGGGAGCTTACTCCCCTTGTGATTGAAAGTTTTCAATGTTAAGAAATCGCATCCCAAATGCAGTCCATTACGTACGTACTCAGTTATGAAATGTGTGCTTAAAAAATGTCAATATTCATCGGTGCTCCCCAATTGCGACGAGCATAATGTTCAACAAAGTGAGCACAGTGGTTGTTTTTTGTCAAAGTATACTCCGTGCAATGGGAGTGCTTACAAAAACGCGTTTTACTTATCAGTACTTTACCGTTTATATGCTTAGGGTTTTATCTTCGTATTCTTAGTTTAGGAGATGGAATATATCCGCAGACAGGAGAGATAGAAAAAGCCAATGCTCGATGTAACAGTTGTCATTGCCTGCATATAATTCTGACAAGAAACTGGACTGTTTTAAGACCATTAAAGCGAACATTATCAGCGAAGAAAGCGGGTTTTAGGGTGACCATTTTTTGGCTTTTTTCCATCCTAATCCAGAAATACCTCAATCCTAGCGAGTGGCCAATCTAAGGGAGTGACCTGGTACCCAGTCACTCATCAAGTATTTAGTTTACTGCCTTGACTATTCGGGTCAACTTT